ATTTCTCTGCATCTTTTAAAATTGACCAAACATGATCAAATAGAAACCCCTTTCTCTCTTCTGGATCTTCTACAAATATTATCCTAGCACGTTTAATCTACCACAAGAGAGGAAGAAACATTTATTAATAACATGATAGTAGATGATAATCAAGATTTATGTTATTCAAAATACTTACAATGTCTAGCTCAGAAGCACCGCTTGGATTTAAGCGCTCGACTTGTCGAATACATCCTCGAAATTTACTGATGGCCTTCATAATTAATTACATTCGGTATGAGAGACTTCGGAGTCCTTTGAGCATTACAAATATTGGAAATCCTTTCATGAAATAAAGTAGAAATTCGTTCCCACAACTTGTCCTTCTTTTGATTAGAACCCATGATAGGATCTTGAGAAATTTCGAGCCACGTGGCGCATAAAATTTGGTCTTCTTCTTATAAAAAGGATTTTTCGCGACTAGATGTCATAATCTAAGGAGAAATATAAAGAGTTATGAATATAGAATAAGAAGAGTTGTGGTGGAGATATGAAAATTGTGCAAGTATTATATAGGGATCAGATGTGGGGAGTCTCCAACACTAGGAGAATCCAAGGTGGGGAGTCTCCAACACAAAAAGAATCCAATGTGGGGGTGAGAAGCCAATGCTAAAAAGAATCTAATATGGGGAGTCTCCAACACGAAAGAAACCCAATGTGGGGGTGGGGGAGTGAGAAGTCAATGCTGAAAAGAATCCAATGTAGGGAGTCTCTAACACCAGGAATCCAATGTGGGGAGTCTCCAACAAGAAAGGAATCCAATGCGGAGAGTCTTCAACACTAGGAGAATCCAATGTGGGGAGTCTCTAACACAAAAGGAATCCAATGTGGGGGTGAGAAGCCAATGCTGAAAAGAATCCAATGTAGGGAGTCTCCAACACGAAAGGAATCCAATGTGGGGGTGAGAAGCCAATGCTGAAAAGAATCTAATGTGGGGAGTCATATTATATAATGACATTACATCCATCTCTAAATAACTCACAACTTATATGATTATTTCTATAAATAACTTCTTCATCAATGAACTATGGAGTCGGACCGTCACATCTACCTTCTTCTTCTTCTTCTTCTTCTTCTTCTAACGATGAAATATTTTCTCAGTACATTAAAGATTAGGAGGAAGATATGACACAATGGGAGAAGGAAGATGAACTCTTAGCTCGCGTACATGCCTCTAATAATAAAATAATGACTTATCTCTCTCAAGAGGCAGAGCGGCCAAAGCGTATTGGCACAGTTCCTGGTCATTTGGTGATCAATCGTGGGAGGGAAGAAGGTAATTCTCGACTTTACCATGACTATTTTTCTAATAACCCTACATATAGTGCAAACCTATTCCGTAGAAGGTTCCGGATGCACAGGAGTTTATTCCTTCGTATAGTCAAGGCGGTACGTGAGCATGACAACTTCTTCGTACAGAAGATGGATGGTGTCGGCAAACTTGGGCTATCAACTTTACAAAAAGTTACATCGGCATTTCGCATGTTGGCGTATGGAACATCAGTAGATAGTACTGACGAATATGTTAGGATCGGTGAGTCAACTATAATTGTATGTTTAAATAGATTTTACAGAGCAATTGTAGAAGTATATGGAGATGAATATCTGAGGACCCCCAATGTCGATGATGTTGCAAGGTTATTGCAAAAGGGCGAAGAAAGAGGTTTTCCAGGAATGTTAGGAAGTCTAGACTGTATGCATTGGCAATGGAAAAATTGTCCAACAGCATGGGCAGGACAATACTCAGGTCGTCATGGAGGTCCAACCATTATTTTTGAGGCAGTATCATCATATGATCTATGGATATGGCATGCATACTTTGGCTTACCAGGATCCAATAACGATATTAATGTATTACAGTCGTCTATTTTGTTCGACAATCTATCACAAGGTATTGCTCCTCCTGCTCATTACACAAGTCTAGGAAAAAATTATGATGTCGGTTATTATTTGGTCGATGGCATATATCCGAAATGGCCAACACTTGTTCAATGTCGGTTATTATTTGGTCGATGGCATATATCCGAAATGGCCAACACTTGTTCAAACCATTTCTAATTCCGATGATAAAAAGAAACAATATTTTGCAATGATGCAAGAAGCATGTCGAAAAGATGTTGAGCGGGCATTCGGTGTTCTCCAATCACGATTTGCTATCATCAAGGGGCCAGCCCGTTTTTGGGATAAACGAACTCTGCATGATATCATGACTACTTGTATTATAATGCACAATATGATTGTCGAAGATGAACGCGACGAGCAAGAAGATGTTGTCATTTCAACTCCACAATCAATTCTGAATGCTGAAAATATGGAGATAACAAAAACTGAACGATTCCAACGGTTTCTTGCTCGACATAAGAGGTTGAAAAACAAAGAAGCTCATTTTTCACTTCGAAATGCATTGATTGAACATTTGTGGGAAAGACATGGAAATGAAGCGATGTAACTTTTTTTTACTAATGAAATAATGACTTTTTCATTTTTAATTACTTGGTTCTTAAAATGTTATATTTCAATTAATATTATTCAATATTAGTCTCATTTTGAAGGTATCGACAAAATATTTCCAACTGTAAAACTTTTATTTAAAAATAATTAGTAGAAATAAACTTATGTTGATTTTAAGTTGAACATCTAAAAATAATTAGTTAGTTAGAAGGGTAATGTTGTTATTTTTTAGGGGGAATAGTGAAATGAAGGGGGGCTGCATATTTGGAGCAAAAACTCCAAATATGCAGCCGGGTGGGATTTTTTGCAGCCGAGCTCCAAAATTTAGAGCTCGGTTGGATGCCAACCGGGCTGCATTTTGTAGAAATGCAGCCCGGTTGGAGCTGCTCTAAATGAGGAAAAGCTATTACACCAGTTGGATAATTCAAGTTATTTAAATAACAACCATGCGATTTAGGGAATAAACAAAAAGAGAGATGATGGTCTGAGAAAGAGGATTGATATTAGGTTTATATAGCTTCTTGGATAGCTTCTTGGTTGATTTATTGAAAAAGATGCAGAAGAATATGACGTGGGCTACATAATTACAGAGTAAGCCATAACATAGGGAGGAAGAATAATTTTGTTTGTAACATATTCCAAGGAAAGACAAACACATGTTTATACTCTATAATAGATTAAACAAGAAAGATAAAGGTCATTCTAAGTTTATGCATAATGTCTCATGCTATAGGACATTAAAAGGCAATGCTGACAGTAAACTGCACATAAGAGAGAAAAATATAGATTACCAACTCCAGCCAGCAAAAATCCAGTTACTGTATCCTGATAAACCAACAAAAAAACATCAATGTTGACAAATCTCTCCTACAAGAAATAAAAAATGATGCAAAATTGTTACAAATCATGTCAGATTCTTGTAATCGTCTAAAAATGTCTATAGGTGTCCGTACACAGCTTGAAACAAAGAGTGGACGATTCAAGAAGAATTATCCAAGTGTCCGCCGCGCTTATCGGTCAAATCCAAAGTGACCGAACGCACTTGCCAATCAGCTCACGCGCATCGATCAACTCTAAGTGCCATAAAGAACCTAACGAGCGCATAAAACAAATTAACAAAGCATGCAAGTCAACGGAATGACGAAATATGCAATACAGGTCCGGAGAAGTCAGAAAGTGTCTAACACCTCAAAGTGGCCCGCAAAAAGAAGAGGCATTTAGACCATGCTACAATTTGAATCTGAGGAAACTCAAAAGATAAAAGTTGTAGGTATCTTCGTCAAATTTCTAACGCATCTTGAACTAGCTCAATCTGAGGTCGGACGAGAGAGTTAAGACCAAAAAACCGAATGTATCTCAAACTGACCCGCGCGACGACGGGTCGGATCCACCCGACCCGCGCGGCGACGGGTCGAATCCATCCGTCTCATGCCCAGAACTGCTCGTAACCTCCAAAACGTATTTTTAGACTGTTTCAATTGGTTTTTTCTGTTCCAGAGGTTCCTAACTGCCTAGATATTATCCACAAACATGGTTAGGCCGTTATTAACTAAAGATATGACCAAATCCATCATTCTTATCCGAAAACCCCCAACTGAAGCCTATAAATACAGGCCTAGGGGTTCATTTCATAGGAGCGATTTATTATCAAGACGAAAAGGTGTTGTCAAACTTCAGAGCCAAGAGTCACGAATTTCAGCGAGGGTTAGCGAGATCCCGACGAACTCCAGCATAAAGAAGGAGCTATTCGAAGGATCTGAAGCCCGATCCCACCGTTCCTTGAGATTAGGCTTGGTCTTAATCTCGAGAAGAGTACTGATTTCGCTTCCCGATCCCACCGTTCCTTGAGATTAGGCTTGGTCTTAATCTCGAGAAGAGTACTGATTTCGCTTGGTCAATCTCAGTGCTTCAAATCAAATACTCCCTTGGTGAATACGAAGCTCTACCCAATTTTCCATCAACCGGATCCAGATCTAAGGCAGTCCACAGATATCAAAATCTCCGTCACAGGCAAAGATCCCACACAAGCAGAAGACCGATAAACGATCTTCCTACGTTTGTTTGATAGAGTTATAATTTTTTATTTCTTTTATTGTGTAAAGAGTCTTATAAAAAGACCAATCTTTTGATCCTATTATAACGACCAAAGTTGTAATGAGTTATACAATGAAGAAAGCAACTTTTGATGCGAACAAACTGGCGATCACAGTGGGAATTTGAGTGTCCCGCGAGCTGGAGGGTCGGATCTGAGTGTCCCGTGGGCTGGAGGGTACAAACAGATTGTTGAATATCATTTCTCCATGATAATGTTTTGATGATAATAATTTATATTGTGTGTACACTAACTTTCATATGCAGATTTCAATATCAGAATATGTACAAGTGCAAGTGGATATCAAGGCATTTTAAAGTGAAGAAAATGAAGAACAAAAGATAATGTATTTGAATTTTTCTTTACTTAGAATATTTGTACAAGCCTTGATCACATACACACGCACACACACACAATTTTAGAACACACTAACACAGGCTTAGTGTGTTGGTTAACTATAGAAATCCCCTATGTTAACCATTAGAATAGTAGTTAAAACTTAATTATAAAAACTCATTATTTCTGAATATTTGATCTTAATAGTCGACTAATTAGAATAGTAGTCGACTACTCATGTATAGAACTCAAATACATGTTTCTGTCAATTTACAGTATAGTCGACTAATCATCATTATAGTCGACTACTGAACGCAAATTTCATTTTATCAGTTTCTGTCAAAATACAGTGTAGTCGACTAATGGGCTTTGTAGTCGACTACTGAGAAAATTTTCCGAAAACCAGTCTGTTTGAACTCAGTGTAGTCGACTAATGACTACAGTAGTCGACTACAAGAGACAGTTTTTCAGTTTTCAGAATTTGAATATCTGACAGTTTTTGGCCGTTTTTAAACGTTTTCAAACTTTAAAAACTTGTCTTTTCAAGGGGTATATATAGGTTATTTGTTCAGAAAAATGAAAGATATATACATACCCATAAGCTTTGATTCTTAAGCAATTTCCTAAGTGAAAAACATTCTGATTTTCTGAAAAAGAAGAGTTTCTGAAATTGCCTATATACTTTCATCAAAAACAAATCAATTAGGCAATTTTACAAAGATTAAAAGAATCCTAAGCCACTGCTGCACATTATTACACATTCAAGGCTTATAGGATCATTGTGTTCTTCTTCAACAAGTTTTCTCTCGGTTGTGAGAGGGTTAGTCTCTTGGGTTAGAGATTGGTGTTCAAATTGACAAGGAGTTTGTCAATTGGTGTTGCAATTTGCAGGAACTTGCAAATTGGTCAGGTTTGCATTTGATTTTGTAAGTTTAGAACACCCCCCCCCCCCCCTCTAGTGTTCTAGTGTATCTATTTCAGATCCTACACAGATCCCGAAAGAGAGGTACCCAAAAAATAGGCTCTCACTGTCCGTGCACCAATATTATCAGGGCAGCATTATAAGCGTGTAGCTGCCCCAAGACCGCTCCGTAGAGGGTCTTGATATTTGAGAGGATCTCTAACGGAGCAACTAAGTCCAAACCAAAACATTTCCACAATAAACAATCGGCCGTTCAAGGTGACGAACTTCCGAAAGTCACAATAAATATGGCTGATAAGGGAAAGTCGATTCGACCTTCTAGCTCTGACCCGCTTATACGAGCTCTGACCCGCTTATAACGCATCGTCTAACCCGGTTACGATCAGGAACTATTAGACAAAGAGATTATCAAAGAATACAGAGGGGATTACCCTCGGATGATGAAGCATCAGATGCCAACTCTGCAGTCGGTTCTGACAAAACGGTGTCCAGCCCAGGATAATCCCACGAGGCATTCATGATTAACACCGAGAAAATCGCCTAAATTCTTGTGGATGCTCTAACCAAATAGAAAGAGGCATTCAAGATTGAAATGGAAATGGCTATGCTACGGATGAGGGAAGAGCATGACCAACAAATTCGGGCTCTGTTCAATCAGTTCGGTGAATCCAGCCGTCGCAACCTTGCTGACCAAGCAGGTAGCGATTCAAATGTAGATGAACATCTCAATGCTGAGAGCCCTCCCGTTGACCAGAACACTAGGGGTGGCCCCACTGAAGACAACAACACTGGGGGTGGTCCCGTCAATGATGATTGTTGGCCTTCTTGTTTTGATGATGTTTAACAAATAATTTACTTCTAATGTTGTTTGTCTAGTGTTTGTGTTTTCGTATTTATTCTAGGCAAACAACGTGTTGGAGGATGGATGGAATAGAGCTTCAACGATCATATCCAAAGGAGGTTGGCGGAATGTCGGTGAAGCTTATGCAATTCAAGTTCAAGATCCAAGTTTAGCTTTCATCCGTAAGTGTACCAAGTCGAGCTTATTGAAGATCAAGATCTAGCTTGGGTAACTTAGTTTAGGTTTTATATTATGTGTGTTAGATACTCTAAGATCAATATCATATACACACACATTTATTGGTTTCTTCGTATATATATATAGTTATATATATATACATAATTTTTGGTTTCTATGCATATATATAGTTATATATATACATACATGTGTTTTTGAGTTTTCATGTTTATAAATAT